GAATCGATTCTTGGTTCGATTTTGAATCGGAATGAGAGAATCGATTCCTCCTAAAACTCGAAACCAAAGAATCGATTCCTCTCTATTCTTTCCGATGAATCGAACATCCCTGGTCCATACTCGAACATGTAAGACGCATTTATGCCGCGCGAATTCCCAATAGCCGTTCAACGCGAACCTGACAAAGTACCTCGACGCCTCCGGTAAACTCGCGCCCCGTAAAATGGGCAAAAAGATTCCTACGGTGTAGGCGGGAGCGGTAATTAAACCACGACCCCATAAAATTACGAAACTGTCGCTCTCTATCCCAGGAGAAATATAAAAATATCTTCCGCGTCCATGGAGTGATATTTCCGCGCGCGTTGTTGCCTGTCAATAAATGTCAACATTCCTATCGCCGCTTCGCAGACTCAATTTCGCCTAATTCCTTTTTGTTTCTAGAATTGAAATCCTTTTTATTTCCAAACAGCCGAAATTCGTGTCCCGTTGACGCTTTCGATGCGTCACGGAACAATGAAAGGATTTTCCGAGGAAAAAGGAAATCTCCTGGGAAATCGGCGAGTATGGTATCGCAGCGGGTGTCTTAAGATATCGCTCGATTATTCGATCTCTTTGCATCCAACTCTTTCTTCTTTCACTTTTTTTTTATCGGCCACGGACATCTCGCTTGTTTAGGTCCTCGCGGAATCCCGTTGATGGCGGAAACGTACGGATCGCAACGAATTCCTGTTGGAGTTATTTGTTATCGAACGAGTGCGATAAGAAGCAACCCGGTATAAATTGACGCGTTAAGGGGAAAGAAAAATGAAGGGAAAAGGAAAAGGTGTATCGGTGGGCGAATGGAGGTGCGGCTTTGCGAAACGGCGCAACATTCGATCGAATTTAAATTGGCGTTTACTGCAGGACCGAAGTAATGGCGCCAGCCTTTTTATTGGACAATTGAATGTTCATTAACGTATCAGGCGTCAGGCGGAGCGACACGCCCGGCTGCACCCGCTGCCCGTTTGTCGTTTTGTTGGAGATCATTTCAGTAGCGAGTGGGAATAATGATATTAATGGGCGACGATCAACGATATCGTTGCCGATAATTGAAACGGCACCGGTCGTCGAGTATTTGCGTATTTCGAGTATTGTTTCCGGCGACTCGGTTCGGTTCGATCTGTTCGCGACTGGATTCAGCTAGCAGCCAAAGTGTGGAGGATAGAGTACGAGTTTCCGTTACGAACAATTCAATTAGAAAGGTCGTTATTAAATAAGATTTGAAATTAAGGTTGAAAGTAAAACGAAAGATGACGAAACTAAAAGTTGGATTCATTGATGTTCTGAAAATGAGTGAAAATTTTAATGTAAAATGGTACATCAAGTAGAATAGTAATAGAAGTTGTATTGTTCGGTTACGAAAAACGAATAGTTACAGATATTATTATGCAACATAAAATGAACAAATTCGTTCTTTTCAAGCCTGCATAATCAATAAATCAGAATATTCTGATAGTTTAACGTAAATGTCGAATGTTTCTCACCTTGTTAAATCTGTAGCCACTTGATTTCATTTTAATCAAAGATTCAAAGATTCAAAGATTCAAAGAATAAAAGATTCAATGATTTTTCAACGTGATTTAATAACAATAATAATAATAATAATATCAATAATAATAGCTTGAAAATTGGCATACACGAACATCTCTCGGACACCCCGCAATTTTAGCAAATTCTCTCCATTGCATTCGTCTGTAATTCGTCTGTAATTCTGTAACAACACGGCACGGTACGATACCATTTTTATAATAATACGCAGTCACTTCGTTGATATTAAATTACACATTCTACCAAACGCAGTATAATTTATTTAATTTTAACGTACTTTCATCGGCGAGTTCGTCGGCTCAGCGAAGCTTTCACGTGTCAAAGAACCAATCTTTTGTACCCTTTTCTTTTTTTATTAAATAATTAATTAATTTATAACATTTCACCGGATATAACGTACAACGTTACGAGACGACGCTCATTTGCCGAGCCCTCAGTTCACCCTCAGTTTCCAACAGACCGAATAGTTCAGTGCCGCAAAATCCAGAGTCGCTTCACCTCTGTCCTGTATTCGTTGCTAGCAGCTAGCACGGAGCTCCTAGATTTCCGTCGACGGGAAAAGTTTAAATAGAAAGTCGTAAATAATTGTGAAATCAGTGCTCGATGGTGGCCAAGTATTGTTTCCAAGGGTTACTTAAAGTAGACGATGTTCGAGGAAGGTTTCTCCGTTGAGAAGTGGGTCAATGCGTTCTCTCGCTGATAAAGGAGGAAGCATCGCGGTCCTTTTCTCCTTTTCTGTTGGCATCCAGCGGTGAAGAACTCTTGCGGGGAATCGCATTTCCAGGGAGTCGATTTCTAGATTCGCCTTGAGGAGCGGACCCCGATGCGAAACGTATTTCTATCGATAGGCGAGCCACCGTGGAAAGCTCGGCTTAAACTTTAATGCGTCGGCTTAGGTCGTATCAGTTTCTCCATCCGCATTACACTAAGGCGATCGTTAACTTTGACATCGGCTAGACGGCTGAACATGCCAGCTTGATCCGTAGATTAACGCGGTTCGCCAAGAATTATCATCGTTTAATAACCCAACGTCGCGGTCACGGTCAGGTTCTGGCCTCGTATTTCGAAATTCCAAGAGCTGCGCGAAAGTTGGAAATGATTTGGCAAAAGAGAAAAGAAATCAACGTTCCCTTTGGGAATAGTGGGACAAGGCGAGGTGACGACGCTTCCCGGCAGGAAACGCTCGCTTAGGAATTGCGGAAAGGAGGCAGATGGAGCAGCGGCGATGGTGGAAACTGGCCTGTACACTAGCACACCGCTGGAAAAAGACGACGTCGAGCTGCGCGGTGGTTCGAGGAGGACCGGGGGATCGCGGGAATGGAAGTTTAAAGGGAAATAAAGGGAGGAAATGGAATAGCTGGCAGACTAGGCGAGTCTGGTCCAGCTTTGTCCTTGATGGCAACGTTTTATTGAAAATTCACCCTGAAAATTCCATTCGGAACAGAGGAGCCCGAAACACGCCACACGCGATCCACCGTCTCGCGATCACCACCACGATCGCTCTATTACCCTATTATTCTGTACACTAAAGTCTCTATAAATGCACAAATATAGTAATTTCTCGTTAGACGCACCTGACCTGGCGCCACTAAAATGGATATCGTATATTCTTTGACATCTCCCGATGCCTGTCAGATAAGGACCGCGAATAAAAAAAAGGACGGAGAAAAAACACCAGGATATAGTAAAGTCTCCATAAATGCACAAAGCTCAAAACCTTGGTCGAGAATCGCGGGTCGACGGAATATTTTTCGATCGCTCTATTAGCCTATTCTTCGGTACAGAAAAGTCTCCATAAATGCACAAATGCAGTAATGTCTCGTTGGACGCACCAGACCTTGCGCCACTAAAATGGATTTCGTATATTCCTTGACATCTACCGATGCCTGTCAAATAAGGACCACGAATAATAAAAAGGATGGAGAAAAAACACCAGGATATAGTAAAGTCTCCATAAATGCACAAACCTCTTGGACGAGAATCGTCCGCGGGTGGATGGAATATTTTTCGATCGCTCTATTAGCCTATTTTTCGGTACAGAAAGGTTTC